CTGGCTGCACTAGGTCCGGAGGTAGTGCAATCAGTGTAGAGCAACCAAGGAGGTGTTTTTTATTCCTGCACTGAATATAGCCGGCAATTTCAAAATTTAAAGGTTAATGTAAGTATAAAAGTAGAAGTTTTTTTGGATCAAAAAAATTTTACAAAATTTATATTTCAATATATATATATATATACAGGGTGTCCCTGAGCATGTGCTCACTCATTTGTAAAAAGGTAGAGCGCAGTAAATTAAATAAAGAAATCCTGTTATATGTAACGATTTTTGTAATAACAATATTAATATTAATTATTGAAATATTAATTATTGAAATCGGACGAATGAGAGAAGCGCTCGAGCTATAGCACGGCCCACCGTGTCAGACATTGCCTGCCGGCACGCAGCGGGAGGAGGGACAGCGCGCCGCTACCCGTGGTTACCGCTATCGCCATTCTCACGTTTCATTGCATCGCGTCAAGACTCGCATCTCGCGTCTCATTTCTGGCATTGTTTGGCGCGCTGTCCCTCCTCCCGCCGCGTGCCGGCAGGCAATGTCTGACACGGTGAGCCGTGCTATAGCTCGAGCGCTCGAGCGCTTCTCTCATTCGTCCGATTTCAATAATTAATATTTCGATTGTTATTACAAAATCGTTACATATAACAGAATTTCTTTATTTAATTTATTGCGCTCTACCTTTTTACAAATGAGTGAGCACATGCTCAGGGACACCCTGTATATATATATATATATATATACAGGATGGGAAAAAGTATGGAAGCAAACAATTATTTCCGAAACTATTCATTTTTCGACAAAATGTCTTAGACATAATTTTTATGGTATGAAAAGATGTATTATGTGGCATAGACGGCATGACCTTGAAATGACCCTTACGAGCTGCATACGAGCTAAATAACGTAAAAAATTTCAAATGGAACTCGTCAGTTTTTGTTACAGATTCTTGTAGCTGATGTCGAAACGTTTACAAAACACTGCATATGAGCCCCATTCCCTTAAAAACACTCCCAGTTACGAAACAATTGTGATACAAACAATTTGTATGCACATTGACATTGCTTACTGATTTCGCATCATGACGTTCAGTTGCGTCCACTAATAACATGTAATTGTACCTGGCTGTCATATGATACACTGTCTATGAGTATTTATAGAATTTTTTTGATTTCTTGATCATCGCTACCTTATTTATTATTATCATTTATTTTATCCTTAAAAAAGTAGTGTCAATTGGCATACAAGTTTCGGATATTGTGTTTTGAAAATTTGCTATTTTTGTCGTTTTCTATCATAGGAATTGTTACTGATTTTCATTTCTGTAATTTCAAATGTTATTTTCACGATGGCCCTATTAACAGAACGAAAGCGAATATCGCTGTTGATGATGCGTGGTTGGGGTGAGAATGAAAGAACTCACGATGAAGTTACAGTTTTGTTTAATGAAACTTTTCGAATCGGACAACCGGGCATAGTAAGATCTACCGTTGCTAAGACAATTCAACGATTTAATGAAACAGGTTCCGTAAAGGATAAGCCAAAAGTAGGAAATACGAATTATCACAATTGTTTCGTAACTGGGAGTGTTTTTAAGGGAATGGGGCTCATATGCAGTGTTTTGTAAACGTTTCGACATCAGCTACAAGAATCTGTAACAAAAACTGACGAGTTCCATTTGAAATTTTTTACGTTATTTAGCTCGTATGCAGCTCGTAAGGGTCATTTCAAGGTCATGCCGTCTATGCCACATAATACATCTTTTCATACCATAAAAATTATGTCTAAGACATTTTCTCGAAAAATGAATAGTTTCGGAAATAATTGTTTGCTTCCATACTTCTTCCCCACCCTGTATAATGTTCACAATTTATATAGTAAAAATCGTTACTGTTGAGTAAAATATAAAATTTGTAAGGTTAGAAAATCTTAATCTGTGAAATCTAATAGTAATTTTAATAATTTTATTTTAATAGTAATTTTAATAATTTTATTTGAAACATATGTATATATAATATTTACAATAAAAAACAATATGGCAAATACAGAAACAGCAAGAATAAAAAAAGATGCCATAGGAAATATTTTAGTGGATCAAACTGGACACGTAACATGCATTTCTGAAGGTATTAGAATTATCTAATATTTATTAAAGCAGATACAGTAAATATTTGATAAAATTATGTTATTAATGTGACGCGCCATATTTTTCACTGCTTTACAGTAGTTTACACTGTATCGTTTTCTTAAGGCACTACCCTAACAGCACACATGTCCGAAAGATATCCAAAGAATATCCATAGGATATCCATAGGAGATTGGGATATTCTATGGATGTCCTTTGGACATCTTTTGGACATGTGTGCTGTTAGGGTAAATATATGAGTATTCTATACTCCGCCATTTTTAATCCATCTCCCCACCCCAATCTCACTAACCTATCTACTATAATCTCAGCTTAGCGACGAGGCGAGTGACACGAGAAACAAGGAGGGGGAATGGATTAAAAATGGCGGAGTATAGAATACCTGTATATTTAGTGCTCTAGTTTTCTATTCCCGTCTGCACTCTCAGTTCTCGCTTGCACTGGCTCAGTTCTAGTGCAGAACTAGTTCAGTTCAGTGTAGGAATAAAAAACAAACCTATAGTAAGTATAGGCCGGTATTCATAGTCCGGTCTTATATTGAAGATCATCTTAAGAACTCATTCAACCAATCAAATAGCTACAATGCAGCCATTGATTGGTGGAATAAGAGCTTAAGACAATCTTAAATATAAGATCGGACTATGAATTCCGGCCATAGACCGAGCATCCAATGTATATAAGCATTAAGCATATGAAAAGAAAGACAAAAGATGTAAGATGAATTTCTTTCTCTTTTTAATGGAGAAGTGGGGAGCACTTCTTCTCATCTCTTCGCCCCTCCATGACGAACCGGCGCGAGGAAATGTCACATCACTGGTTAGCCGCCATTACTGTCGCGCATGCGCGAAAAACCTGACCCACCTGATAATACCAGAGAGAAAACTGAGAGGGGTCACGTTGCTCTTTTTTAGGGAACGCTTTTTCCCCGCCATAAAGTGGCGCTAACTGGATCCATTTTACGGCCGGCGGTACTACGTGGCCGGATTCACTTTTCGCTGCCACGGTAAAACGACCGATTGGTTTATGTCCGTGTTAGATCCATAATTGTGGATCTCAAAAGTACATATCATACATTTATTAATTTTTATTACATATTATTAACAGCGCGTGATCTTTTTTCACTTTAGCATATATTATGAAGTAATATATATGTATATGCGTGTATAATATATATAAAATTAAAATGCTTATTTTATTTCACATAAAATTTAATGTTTTAATAATTTCAATAAAAGTATTTTAATAAAATATATATATGTATATTACTCCAATAATAAATATTATCAAAATGAAAAACCATTGCGGTATTGCATGCTCGCCCAGGCCGTCGCACTCTGTTCAAGAATCTTAAATCTATAATAAAACTAATCCTAGCGGATAATTAGAGTTCCCTTTCAGGTGCGACAATCCCGCGCTCGCTTTCGCCCTTCGACGGGGATTGTCCCTCGCTGTGACGGCTCACAGAGGGCACAAAATACTAAAAGACAACGAAAAGATGTCTTTTCTAAGTCGACTTTTGGACATGGCGAAAAAGACGTCTTATAGATGTCTTTTCGTCATGTCGAAAAGACGACTAAAACAAGACGTCCTTTCGTCGACCTCTTAAAGTCTAGAATTTGTACGTCCAAAAAGATAACTTAAAAAGACGACGAAAAAACGTCTTGTTTTAGTCGCCTTTTTCGTTGTGTCCAAAAAGACGACTAAAATAAGGCGTCTTTTCGTCAATTTTTTTAAGTCTAGGGCCGGTATTCATAGTCCGGACTTACATTTAAGATCATCTTAAGCTCTCATTCCACCAATCAATGACTGCATTATAGCTATTTGATTGGTTGAATGAGTTCTTAAGATGATCTTAAATGTAAGACTATGAATACCGACCTAGAATTTGTACGCCTAAAAATGACTTAAAAAAGACGACGAAAAGACGTCATGTTTTAGTCGTCTTTTCGACAAAGCTGAGAAGATGTCGTTTAGTCGTCTTTTTCGTTGTTCCAAAAAGACGACTAAAATAAGGCGTCCTTTCGTCAACTTTTTTAAGTCTAGAATTTGTACGCCTAAAAATGATTTAAAAAAGACGACGAAAAGACGTCATGTTTTAGTCGTCTTTTTCAACATGTCGAAAAGACATCTATAAGACGTCTTTTTGCCATGTCCAAAAGTCAATTTAAAAAAAGTCATCTTTTCGTCGTCTTTTAGTATTTTGTGCCTTGTGGCCCTGTGGGTAATGCATTGCGAAACATGAAGTTGGATTGAGGTAAGTATAGTAATTATGTCTAAAATATATAGATAGAAGTAAAATAAACGATAATTTCTAGCAAATAATATATTTATTTCCACGGATCTTCCACAGCAAGCAATCGTTCAAGTGTATTTACTATACAGTTCTGAAATGAAAAACAAATTCTTTCTGCGCGAGAAAAAGCGTCAAGAAAAGAAAAGTTTTCATTGATTTATCTGTGACGTTACGCATTTGGACGCATTCATTGGGATCGCAGCCTTAACATTTAATGAAAGCGTAAGGCCGGGTCTACAATAGATAATTTAAATCCTAAGCTTTAAGAAATTAACCAATCACAATCGAGTATTCTCTTCATACTTGACTGTGATTGGTCAATCTCTTAAGGCTTACGGCTTAAATTACCTATTGTAGACCCGGCCTAACCGTTTTAAGCGGCAAAAGATATAGAAAATAATTGAACTTCTCTCTTCAATTGTTACCTTCTTCTTCCCGAATTATTGCCCCTCCTTCTTTCCGATAAAGATATCGTGGGCAAGACATCGTGGGCAACATTCTTTTCATTTTTTATTGTTTTATAATACATATATTTTTTTAATTAACTCGTGTAACTTTTAGTTTGTATTTTTTTAAGGTGACCATTGTTCTACTGAATCAAGATTTTTGCAACAAGAAAAGTATTTGCAAATGATCAACGGCAAATTGGATAATGTCATAAGAAAGTTGGATATGTCATAAGAAAGTTGGATATATACTATCTTAGCTTTCCATGATGAGGAAATGCCGTTAACGCATTCTTCTCCGGATTTGTTACCTCTATTTCCATTAAAATCTAAGGCAGATTTTAAAACATTTTGTGACAATTTGGAAAAAGAGGATTTACAAAAACAATTTGTAAGTACAACATAAATAATTTGTATAATTGTATTTATATAATTGTATTTGTATTATTTTTCTATTAAAAAATGCATATTTTAATATTTTTGAAATTACATTTATTGTAGCAAAAAAGAATTCGCAGTATGGGTGGCAAATCGGCAGAAAATCACCTTCGCAACTGTTTAGTTACAACTCTAAGTAATGAGCTAGCGAAATAGTTAACCTGGGAAGGCCAGCGTCAGACGGTGAGAATAAAAAGCACTGTCTTTGCAAATATTATCATAGGTATGTGCGTATATTTTGTGATTTTCTTGAAAAAGTTGTTTTTGTCCTATATGTGTGTTTCATCATGATATTAATTTTAATATGTGTGTTTCATCATGATATTAATTTTTCAGACGCTATTCTAAACATGTACAGTAAAAGTGATATGTACAGTTTAAAGGAGAAATTCTGCGAATGGTTAAGAAGAGGAAGCGATAGACATCGTTATGAATTAAAGAAGTTGCTATAATACAACTATTTCTTGCTTGGAGTTTTAAGGTATGCGCGCAAGATTTATGAAAAAAAATTAACATTTTTGTACATATCGTGAGAATGTAGTTTTGATAAAATTTGTATCTTTATAGATGGAAAGCTGCAGCCCTAATATAACAATGAACGAGAGAAAAACGCAGAAATAATGAATATGAAAAAAAGGGACCTTTTCATCATAAGGGACATTGACGAAAAAGGAGGCATATTGATATAGTCCCAGTAAGCAAAATGTTAGCAGTCTGCCAGCAGCATGCGAGCAGATTCAAACAGAATATTGCGGCAGATTGGCATCAACTGCGTCCGCATTAAGCTTGGGTTCTGCTAGCAGAATCTGTCAGCATAAACCGACAGCAGATTGTTAGCAGAAATCGAGCAGAATCTGCGCATGCAATTTGATGTTAGATTGTCAGCAGAAACCGAGCAGAATCTGCGCATGCAACCTGATGGCAAATTGACAGCAGAAACTGCACATAATTTGCGCTTACTTTTATTAATGTTATATAAATGCAACAAAATTGATTATTACAAGTGCTAAATAACAATATTATCGGCAAGTTAATTAGAATTTTCTTAGAAAATAACATATAATATGTTATATCGTAGTTATATGTTATATTAGTATGTTATATCGTAGTTATATGTTATAGTAATATGTTATATCGTAGTTATATCTCATATAGCGAAGGATTAATTCAATTTAATTAAATTAATAATAAAGTAAATGATAAAAGTAAATGTAACTTGTAAAACTTGAGATGTAATTTATTATATTTAGAATTACATTCTTGCTTTATACCTCAAATAGGTAGTACATGAATAATTTTTCATTTATCATATTGATTCCAATCAGTTTAATATTCTGACTCTCATTTGCTTGTATCAGATATCAGAAATTAAAGTGATAGAAATTAAAATGATAATTACTATATTTTTATTCTTTTATTCATATTCGCGACTTTATATATATTTCTGACAGAAATTCAATTACGAGAAAGTACAGCTCACGTAGCGGTAAGTGAAGGAACTATCGAATCAAACCCTGTTCCATTTCTGCCATCAATCTGCTATCAGAGATTGTATGTGCAGATCCTGCTCGATTTTTGCCGACAATCTGTTGTCAAATTGCATCGCACAGATCCTGTTCAATTTCTGCCACCAATCTGCCACTAAATTATGCCGGCAGAATCTGTTTAATTTTTGCTGCCAATTTGGTAACTGATTATGTTAACAAGCTTTGTTATATTTCTGTTAACATTCTGCCGACATCACGTACATGATATATCAGAACCTGCATCGATTCTGTAAAATCTTTCTCTCGACAACAATTTGTAACAGATTCCCTGACAAGATCTGCTTTAGCAGACTTGGCTATTGGGGGTATTTATATATGCATATACAAAGAAGCACACAGTCACACGTACAATAGGCCGATTTTTTGCTAGTTTTTCGAAAGGAAAACGCCTTTTTAATTCCTTTCGAATCATAATTGTTTTGTTTACGAAATTTGTGCAATGTTTTTTTTATTGTGAAATATTTTTCTTTATAACATTAATTGGAAATTACGGGGCACAATAGATAAATGAGTAAATTCTTTTATTTTTTTTATTTACTATATTTAAAGTTTTTAGACATATGAAGTCAGACTTAATATTGTGCAATTTATTTTAGTATCTACAAATTGTTTTTGTAAATCTTTGAATTCAGAACTTCACAAAATATTTTAGACTATGCCATATAGTTTAACGATATTTGTTTATGTTTATTTCAAGAAAGCTTAATTTCCAATTTCTTTGTAATGATTTGTTTATGTTAAAAAATTCTATACAAAATATGTTTATTTTTGCGTTCCACTGATTTTAATATGTCTGGTTTTTATGTCTAATTACATTATGTCTTATTATAGATATAATTAAATAATATTAAAATATTTCTTCATATTTTATTCCATGTATATATATAAATAAATACGTGTATATAATACACATATTCCTTTATACATGGAATAAAATATGAAGAAATAAATATTAGGTTGCGGCGCCCGCAATTGCGTATTCGATTATTTTTTAGATTGGAGGATGTATGTACACACGCACATATTTAATTGCAATGCCCGCAGTTGTAAACAGAGAGAAGATACATATAAAGTATATATACATCTATCTTCTCTTTGGTTGTAGATTTTATAATATACACATACATACAAATGTTATGTATCAAGGACGAGCGGCAATACATGTCCACAAACATACACATATTAGAAATGAGCGATACAGAATATAATAACATTATAAATATCGATATTTTCATAATAAATTTATCGACAGTAATAATAAAACAAGCCGATGGGTGCTGGGACTGTCATTCTTGGGCGACAGAGTCCGCATCGGTTATGTTTTTATATAAAACATTATTTCTGTAGATAAATAGTTATTATTATTATAATATCGATATTTTATTTGTTTTTATAAGTATTTTTAACAATATGTAAACTACATCTAAAATACGTCTTTTGTGCAAGTAACAATTGACCGAGCTACACTGTTATATATATATATATATATATATATATATATATATATATATATATATATAATGATGCAATCAATTAATTATAGCGCTTTTCTTTTAATATAATACATATTATTATATGTATAAAATTAAATACGTTTAATTGCTTAAACTCTATCAAAATGTATGAATTGATTAATTGTAATATTACTATTATATCCGTGAAATGCACCGACAAAAAAAGATACACAATTTTTTTCAGATTTGACCTGTAATAGGTCAGAATTGGTTTTTACAAATATATCGCTCATTTTTAATCGATTTTCTACATACACATGCGCGCGCATGCACACGTATTTATAAATGAAACTGTAATTTAAATTACAAAACATTATTACATCTGTAATAATTATTACAGATACTTAAATTATAAATATATTGAATAATAGTTTTTCTATTTTTGTTTTGTGATATATTTTTCTTTAAATTGGAAGAAATATAGTTTTAAGTAAATCATATTTGACAGTGGCTGCATATTGCATTGTGATAAATGTGTTTTGATATATTTTGAATTAAACTAATACAGGGTCGCCATTATTATTTAATTAATAAATGCATTCAATGTAGACGAGAGAAATAAAAGATGTATTATAGTATTTATAAATAGTGCGTACATATAATAAAGAAATTATAGTATAATGTTCATGTAAGAGATATAAACAATTTTTTATTATAATAAAATTTTATTTATAAATTTTAAAATAATGTAATATTTTGTAATATCTATCTATCTATCTATCCTAACTTAATATTCATATAGTACAAAGCAGTTTCAAAAATGACTAAAACTCGACATATTTCTATTCAAATTAAGACGTCTTTTAATAGTATAATAATATAGTCTACGAAAAGACGACTAAAAAAAGATTAAGGGAGAACACCACTGTGAGATTTTCAAAAAATCGATTTTTTTTTTGCCTTTACAAAATCCCTTAGACCCTCAAAAATATGATACAAATTCGTTTATAGCTAAAAAATTTTTTTTAGAAGGTTTTCAAGCATTTTCCTGAGAGCTCTCTAAGAGCCGAAAAACGCTGTCGGCAATACAACCCTGTTATTTTTAGTTTCTTCCTCATTTAATTTTATTATCCTTAGAAATTAAGTTACCGACTGAAATAAGTTCTCTTTTTGACCTATAGGTGCGCTGAAAAAAAAAAATTTCCATCAGCTGTAGCGTCTGTAAAACCGTTGAGAAGACGCCGTTGCTTCGGAGTGCGCGTCTGTTTGTGTACATATTTATTGTTTTTTTACGAATAACAGTGTGTTTTTTACTTGTTTAAGTAATGTCTCCACCGAAAGTATATGAAAATAAAAACGGTGATCGGGGGAATTATCGATCAAGACTAAGAAGCAAAATCAGCAATCGTAAACCTCCTAATCCTAGTGAAATTGAAAAGAATGACGAATTTGTTAGCAGCTCTTCAAAAAAAATTAAACTGTCAAAAGATGCTTATGATATCAGTGTTGATAGTACTTTTTCTTATCGGATCGTGTGTCTATCTATGGTTTTAAATACTATTTCAACGTTAGTGCAGTGTAAAACATGTGGCGGGGACATTAATTTCACAGAGTCAAGTGCACGTGGCTTAGGATTCAAAATTGTTGTTAATTGTGCAAATTGTGCTCAAGTACCAATTAATTCGTGCCCATTGATAAACAATGCTTACGAAATAAATAGAAGAGTGATATTTGCTATGAGACTTATTGGTGTCGGCTTGAACGGCATTATAAAGTTCTGTGCTTTCATGGACTTACCTCGCCCCATATTTCAATCTTTTTATGATAAAGTTTTGAAAAGTCTCGTTGTCGCTACATCGGCTGTTCGTGAAATTTCTTGTAAAAAAGCTGCAGTTCAAGAAAAAAATATGTCGATTGAAAAGGGCCAAACCGAAAGTGTCACTGTGTCTGGTGACGGATCTTGGCGCAAGCGAGGATTTTCGTCTTTATATGGTATCGTTTCATTGATTGGCTGGTACACTGATAAAGTACTTGATATTATTGTAAAGTCGAAGTATTGTAAAGCTTGTGATACATGGGCATCAAAAGAAGGTACTGCTGAATTCGACGAATGGAAATTGAGTCATGCTAACGAGTGCCAAGCCAATCACGAAGGCTCCTCTGGTAAGATGGAAGTTGATGAAGCAGTTGAAATGTTCGCGCGATCGCAAGAGCTTCATGGCCTTAAATATTCTAATTATGTGGGCGATGGTGACAGTAAAACCTTCAAAGGAATCGCTGAAAGTCAACCATACGCAAATTTTATAGTAAAAAAAAAGGAGTGCGTCGACCACGTACAAAAAAGAATGGGTTCACGATTACGAGAAATGAAAAAAAAAAACAAAAGGCATCGGAGGTAAAGGCAAGCTAACTGGAAAGTTAATTGATGAGTTAACGATTTTTTATGACCTTGCAATTCGCAGAAATGCCGATTCCGTAGAGAAGATGAGGAAAGAAATTTGGGCAACATTAAAGCATAAGATGTCGACAAATGACAAGCCCCAGCACGATGATTGTCCAACCGGAGAAGAATCTTGGTGCTCTTGGCAACGCTCGAAAGCTCAAAATGACTTAGCGAATTACAATCACAAGCCAGTTATGTGTGATGAAGTATATGAAGCAGTCTTGCCGATTTATAAAGATCTTAGTAGAGATGATCTGCTTCAGCGCTGTTTGGGTGGATATACTCAAAATACAAATGAGAGCTTTAACAAGGTAGTGTGGACGATCGCTCCAAAAAATAGTTCTGACGGTAAATTGATGCTCGATATTGCAGCTGATATTGCTACAATGACTTTCAACGACGGTCTACTATCCCTTTTTGAGTCATTAAAAATTAAAAAAGATATACAACTTTTTATACGAAAATTATAGTCGAAAAATGAAACTTTTTCTTCAAACTTGTCTCTATTTTTTTTTTTCGAATTTTTTAATTTCCTCAGGTACTTCGATGCTAAAACTAATATATTTCATGAAAATATTTTATTTTTTGTTCCAGGAACAAATTTAAGACACTTCTACTGCGTGCAGTGGAGCGACTCGAGTCAAAATCACTTCTACTAAAGCTACTCTTGCGCCGCCATTTTGTATTTTTTTGTACATAAAAAAATTTTTTTGTTTACTTAAATATATGCCAAATATAGCCTAAAAGTTTTTTTCTCTAAATCCAACCCAATCCTCAAAAAAAAACCAAATTAAGCACTTGAAAATGATAGGTCGCAGTGGTGTTCTCCCTTAAATTATGTCTAGACGACTAAAAAATGTCGTAAATAAGTCTTTAAAAACCTAATAAAAAGATATCTTAAAGACGACCGAAAATGTACAGTTTTAGTCGTCTTTGTGCCCTGTGGGGGGACTCAAAAGCGTCACGTCACAATGTGTGTGTGTGTGTGTGTGTGTGTGTGTGTGTGTGTGTGTGTGTGTGTGTGTGTAGTATATATATATATATATGTCATATTTTATTGGTACATATACATATACATATATATAAGTGTATAAAACGACCGTCTGTTCGTGCTAGATTCATTAATTATTGTGAATTTCAAAATAAAGAATCTCAAAAAATACGAAACATTATTGCGTATGATCTTTTTTTCATTTTGGTAATATTTATTATTGGAGTAATATACACATATATATTTTATTAAAATACTTTTATTGAAATTATTAAAACATTAAATTTTATGTGAAATAAAATAAGCATTTTAATTTTATATATATTATACACGCATATACATATATATATATTTTTTCATAATATATGCTACAGTGAAAAAAGATCACGCGCTTAATAATATGTAATAAAAATTAATAAATGTATGATATGTTTTGTACTTTTGAGATCCATAATTATGGATTTAACACGGACATGAACCAATCGGTCGTTTTACCGTGGCAGCGAAAAATGGATCTGGCCATGTAGTACCGCCGGCCGTAAAATGAATCCAGTTAGCGCCACTTTATGGCGGGGAAAAAGCTTTCCCTGAAAAAGAGCAGCGTGACCCCTCTCAGTCTTCTCTCTGATAATACTGATGTAGATCCGACTTAGGGCCTATCCAGACAAACTTGCATAGGTGCATATGCATAACATAAGACCATGGGTGTTTACGACAATTAATCGGATCTTTGATCGGACTGAGCAGTGGTACTCAGCGATAGACTTTCTAAATTTCTCTAGACTAATCCGGATCAATGATGTGTCTCTGAAGTAATCGAATTAGATTAACAACTTATTCTTATTTTATAGAAAACATCTTATTCCAGTAAAATACATTTGTTTATTAATATATATTTGATAAATAAAGATATATTAATTAAAAGAATAATAAAGTATCTTCTATAATTTCTTATGATGTTTTTCACAATTTTTTTCGATCAGCTCGACCGTAATTTCTTTCGATGACTATTAATCTAATTCGATTACTTCAGAGACACATCATTGATCCGGATTAGTCTAGGAAAATTTAGAAAGTCTATCGCTGAGTACCACTGCTCAGTCCGATCAGAGATCCGATTAATTGTCGTAAACACCTCATATGGACCAATGAGCATCGAGAATTAAATCGCTATATTGACTTACATAACATAATACTCGATACTCATTGGTCCATATGATCTTATGTAGAGAACCTCTAGGAGAGAGAATGGACAACTGATCAAGCTTTTTCATGATTGGCTGGCAGAAAATGTATCAATTTTAGCTATTGCGACGCCAATGCAAAATATGATGACACACAAATAGGACACACATGACACACATATATTAACCTATTTGTGTGTCATCATATTTTGCATTGGCGTCGCAATAGCTAAAATTGATACATTTTCTGCCAGCCAATCATGAAAAAGCTTGATCTCATGTCACATGATCAGTTGTCCATTCTCTCTCCTAGAGGTTCTCTAATCTTATGTTATCCATATGCACCTATGCAAGTTTGTCTGGATAGGCCCTTAAAAGCGTTCCATGTTCCATGAAAAACGGTAGCTCTTCTCAGGCTTCTCTTTGGTACTAGTGTAATTATGAAAAAAAGAAAAAAATAAGTATCAGTGTAACTATGGAGAATGAAGAAGTAATACAATTGCGCAAGCTAAAAGAAAAACTTTTAAAAAAAGCGATTCAGTTAAAAGACAAACTAAAAGATCAAGAAGATAAACACCAGTCATTAATTAATATGTAATAATATATAATATGTGAATTATTTCTGTAACTAATTGATTCATTCATGATGATTAAACTTCTCTAATCAATAAACTTAACTGTTCCGGATATTTGTAGCACACTACCTTCTGATAATGAAGATCATAAATCATCGAAACCACAATCCATCAAATACAAGACCAAATTATGTGAGATTGCGGGTCAAGTGATGGGAATAACATTTAAAGACATCAATAAAAAATGGTTACATAACAATACTTTTATTTATACAGCTAAAGTAATAACAAAAACCTTTTCCTTCAATCTTGAATTAACAGTAGTTTTCGCAGACACACACACATTGGTATGAGAAAATTATAAAATTCAATGCTCTAATTACTAATTTTTTTAATGTTATTTCTTAATTCTTTATCTTCTTTTTTTTAGCATTTAGATTATTTTAAAATCGACAACATAATGTGTTATTTTACAAACATTGATGATTGTTATATGCTTGAAATATCTCCTTGGTTTGAAAAGATTACAAACATAAAAAATTTTCCTCTTCTTATATCTGGTAAATATTATAATAACCATAATGATATCATTAATAAGTTATAGCAATTTTAATGTTATATAATGAGCCATCTCTTTTTTAGCACTTTCTGATTACATTGCAAATAACAATCTTAGATCTAAGATTCTGAATAGTTTAAAATCAAGGAAATATGCAACTGTACAACAATATACTCAGGAAAATGGAGGCATATTAGTATATATACACTCATCTATGAAAACAGAAGAAAATTATTTAATATTCCAGTGGACAATGAAATTTTTGGAACTAACATGGCACATTGAACATTTCTTTATAGTAAAACCCACAAATATTGGTAAAAAAATTAATATATTTGTATAAATAGAAATTACATTGATAGTTAAATAAGTTGGAAATATTTAGTGATAATTTGTTGATTTTTAGGAATAAAATTTTCTGAAGAAAACCGAACTTTACTAAAACAATTTTGCGAAATTGGTTTGACAAAAAACAAACTTGTGGAATTGTGGGATAGATTGTGCATTGCTATTGATAATTATACTGAAGAGATAAATGCATAAAATTTATTCCTCAAAATTCAATATGCACAGAAATACATAGAATATAGAATAAAATATATATAAATTAAGTATTTTATTTAAATGAAAGATTAAGAGCTTATATTAAAATTAATAAATAAATGATTTTTATGATATATAGATTATAATCTCTTTCTAAAAGGAGTTTTTTCTTTTTTACCTCTTTAAATATAAATTTCTTTAAAAAAATATCCATTATATATATATATATATATATATATATATATATATATATATATATATATGTATATATATATGTATATGTATATATAAAGAATCTGCCAATTAGAAAAAATTAAATTATTTAACTTTTTAAAAATTTTATTTATTAAAACTGAAGCTTAAAAGTGAATTATTAAATTTGTTTTAAGTTATATACATATAGGATATATCCCGAGAATTAATTTCAACAAATTGCAGTAGCATATTTTAAAAGTGGATATAAAAAAATTAGAATAAAAAAAGTTGAATAAAAAAATATATAAAGTTGGCTAAAAATGCTTTATTATGAAGTTAGACAGAAATATTGAAATGGAACATAGGAACATAAAATAGACAACAACGGATTTTCCCTTGTACAGAATACAATAGATCAACCATTATCTATGCATTCATACGTTTATTATCTTTCTTAAACGATTCGGAGTATGATTATATGATTTTATATTAACTGTTAGATTACTATCATCAATAAACTATCAAATGCCATTAAAATGTCAAGAGTCTCTTTAAATGAGGAATACATTAATATTAATTTTGTGTGAATTCTATAGAGAAAATGCATTAACTTGTTTCATTAATATTCTACACAATGGAAAATTCATTATTATTTATTCCATTCTATTTCATTATTTACTTATAATTTTGTAATGAAATATTTTTAGTCAAACTTCATATAATATTTTTTTTATTTTCTTGCAGAATATGTTCACGCAATTTATCGATTAAACTCTAGGACACTTTATGTAATTATTTTGTATTTATCATCTAAAATATAAAATATATTCAAATAACAATGCAAATAAAGAAACATTTATATATTATAGATAATTAAGTAAATATATATATAATAAAAATAATTAAGTAAAGATGCATAAAACTTAAAAAAGATTCTCTTGATATATAAAATATTAATATATTGTTATAATTACAAATTATATTACAAATAAATTATATTAATATATTATTATATTAATATTTGTTGTTTTACATGAATATTTTATATGAATATTTTTTTATCACATGCATGGATATTATAGATATACAGAATATCATTTTTTGTCCGAAAGTGGCTATCTCGAAAATTAAACATTATAAATATAAATGGGTGGCACCCGATTGACCACGTTGCCAATTGGCCAATTCAAAATAGGACTCTCTGATTGGTTAATCGTTGCTGGTTACCCTAGGCACAGGTCGATATAATTGGCTGTGGTCAATCGCAACGTGGTCAAACGGGACGCTCCCATATAAATGTTCATACAATTTGATCATACCCATACAGCATCGAAAAATTGCAAAAACGTTGTATAGACCTAACATTAAAACATTGTAATATTGCATAGAAGTTGCGAAATGTTTCTGCAACATTACTGCAAGCTTGCAGCAACGTTGAAACGTCCGCCCTCAGAAATATTACTGTATAAAATTGTAGTAATGTTATGGTGCAACGTATTTGCAATATTACCCAGGTAACAAGATGACGTCTAAAGACGTCTTTAGACATCATCTTCCCACGTAGAAACTGCCGATAGTGAAAAAACGGCCCAGTATTGGTTCAATACGGGCGGCCGAGCGTTGGCAGACAATGTTGTGCCGTTATTGGTTAATTGTCGAGTATATAACGTCCCATTTTAAACACCAGATTTGGACCAATGCAAGGCATACAATTGGCGCAGTAATGTGCCAGTAGTGATAATTGCAATAATCAATATATTCAACAAAAATTACTAAAAATGCTTTCTGATATAGCTGCATTAGTTCAGAGTTTATCTTTTTTCTTTCAATGTGGAGTAAAAAAGATAAACTGAACTAGTACAGCCATTCAGCTAAAAAAAACAGGCCTAAAAGCTAATATTGACCAACGCAAATTCCACTGGCAGAACTGGCAAAAGTATTTCCGTATTACTGTGCGGATTATGTACCTTTATTGGACCAGTACGTCTCCATGCATTCTTGCCTATGTTGTGCCAGCAGCGGCAATTCTATAATCATGGCATAGTGTTACACTCCTGTACTTGACTTGTACTGGTCCAATGTTGGTATCTATCGACAGCCAGTATTGGCACAACTGGCAGCGGTATTCGCCCAATGTTGGCCCGTTTATAAATTTCTACGTGGGTTGCTACCTGGGTATTAAAACGCGTTTTGCTACAAATGCAAGCCGTTTTAAATTTAATAAATAAACTTTGAAAATATAAAGAAATATTTAAGAAAGATAGGAAAAAAATATTTACCGTCTTTGAAAAAAAAACATCTATTAGTATTTTTTATCAAATGTATCTTATTAAATATTTATCTCAAAAATACATACAATTATTTTACATACTCGGGGAAAAAAAGTCCATGTCTATTTATATAAAAAAAAGTAAAATTATATACAGGGTGTTTACGACAACTAATCGGATCTCTGATCGGACTGAGCAATGATACTCAGCGATAAACTTCCTAAATTTCCCTAGACTAATCCGGATCGATGATGTGTCTCTGGAGTAATCGAATTAGATTAACAATCATCGAAAGAAATTGCGGTCAAGCTGATCGAAAAAATTGTGAAAAACATCATAAGAAAATATAGAAGGTACTTTATTATTCTTTTAATTAATCTCTGACATCATTGTTTATCAGTTTAATTTCAAGCACGAAGTTGAATCTGAAAATTAAAATTAATTTTAATGCAATAAAAATTTAAGTTAATTTCAAATTACTAATTTATATTGTAATCGATTTTTTATAATAACAAAATTAAAGCTAATTTTTAATTTTCAACAAACCTAATCAATTAAATTCCTGTTTAAATAAAATTTAAATTGAAAACAGAATAGTACACGCATCTATATATATTATATGTATAATGTATATATAATGATATATACATTATACATATAACATGTTAATGATTATTTGTAATAAGCAAAATAATGTATATATAAAATAATGTATATATAAAAAATAATGTATATATAAAATATATAATTTTTATAAAAGGAAAATGTGAAAAAGAATAATATTTACTTTTCTTACTTTTTTCTTTTTTTGTATTTTTTATTTTTATCTTATTTATCTTCTCTCTCTTTTCTCTTCCCTCGCTTCCTCTTCTTCTCTCAATGAAATATCCTTTCTCTATCTTCTTTTCTCTCTATCTCTTTTTCTCTGTCATGTGATCTCTTGCTTTTATTTTTTCTTAATTTTAATATAAATAATTATATTTTATATGGTAGAACAGAGTAATGGAGAGTAATACTTATGATTACTTATGTATAAAATGACACAATTTTTGCAGAAAAAAATTGCGTGTGTGAAAAAGCCGAGGGAATACATACTCTTTTTAAATAACTTTTTTTTCTCGTTTTTCTCTTTTTGTTCTCAGATCGCCATATCTTGCATATGATATACGAACCATATGAATTCGATAACATTCACTCATGTTCGACTTCCTTCATCGATATCAATTAGACGAATCAATTAGAATTATATTTAAAGTGTATTTAAAAAAAAATACATTTTAAATATAATTTATACGAAAAATCTAATCCCCGAAGTGTCACCGCCCGAACTGCCATTAAACTGTCAAATCAATGTACGAAGTACCGAATTATCAAATACCTGAACTCAAAAACGTTCACACCTTTCATTGATCGTCAATGACATACGCGGAATACGAAAAACAAATAGACGCGATTACCGACAAACTTCTTCGCGTTTCCCTAACTTTTTTTATATATTATTTATTATACTTTTGATATTTTAAGAGGTTTCATAATCGATTAATACTTTTAAACCGGGAGTATAGGCTTTCGCATAGATGTAAAATCATAAGCACAAGGAAATTGATTAGTCCATAAATATATGCATAAGAAAATGGATATATGCATAAATATATGCATAAGAAAATGGATCAATCAATTTTCTTATGCTTATAGTTATGTACTTGAATAAATATTGTTAGGAATATTTTACATTATGTGGTTAAATAAATATTCTTAGAAATATTTGATCGTTCGAATTAAAATGAGATATATATTTATCTCATTGTATTAATTTATTTATATACACATGCATATATGTATATGTGTAAATATATGCGTATATATATATTACACTAATGGATCTACTACATAAAAGAAACAATGATTCAAGTCCCCAGTGGCGCAATCGGTTAGCGCACGGTACTTATAAGACAGTATTTCTGTGAGCAATGCCGGGGTTGTGAGTTCGAGCCTCACCTGGGGAAAATTTTTTTTTTATATTTTGGTTTATATAACAGATTTATTTATATGAAATTACTTTGATTTATACAACATTATTGTTGGTTACGATTAATAACAATATACATCCATATACATCCATATAACAGTCCTTGATAGAGGGAGGGATGTATGTATGTATGTATGTATGATATATATATATATATATATATATATATATATATATATAACAATTTTGTATATAAAGTATACGTATTTAATTTTTTTCAAACAATAAAATGATATATTATACTATTTAACACATTTGTAACTAGAAAAGTTTACTCCAATAAATTAGAGTATTCTATTTTATATTGAAAACACAATAATGACAATTTAATATTGCAATATTATATACATTATTCATACAAGTACTTGACAAAAATTTTATTAATAAATCAAAATGTGTACAAAATAATGAAAGTCCACTGCAAAAGAAATATATCTTAATTCTTTGATGCAGCTTGCTCTTGAAATATATTTTCTTTAGCACTTTCCTTAATAATTATGCGATTTCTCCATGCTCTCATATATGTTTTTGGATGAACAGGTAAGAATCCAGCAAGTCCTAATAAATCTGCAACAGGTTTAGATACTTGTGCTCCTTTAGTCAACCAGTATTGTATTCTTTCAAAATTGAATGATACTAGTTTCTCATTGTATATATTTGGAATAGGATCGTAAGTACCAACTTGCTCTATTGGTGGTTTTTTATGACGCTTTTTAACCTATGATATTAAAAAAAATTAATTTCTTGACATTGCAAGCATTTCATTTTTTACTATATTCTTATTTATTTTCATTTTCTATTTTAAAAACATGAGTTAAATTAGCTTTTTTAGAAATATAAAAATTATACTAAATATCTGTTTTATTGCATTCCATTTAAATAAAAAATACGCTTAATCGATGTCCTAACGCTTAATGACTCTTTTTATATTATTGAGCGATGATTTTTACTCCTGACTGCTGCCAATCTACGGTTGGCAAAGGACGGAGGGAGTATGCGTTTTTACTTCTCAAGCCTTTATTTTTATGCAAACATACATCGATTAAGTGCACCTTTATTAAAATTTAATTAGAACAGGTCAAACTAAACATTTATCAAAATTATAAAAAAAATGTAATTAAAAAATGACATATGTAATTTCAATTTTCTTGAAAAATAATCAGGCCAACTTACGTCAATTACAATAATATGATAAAACGGTCTATTAGTGCAGCCATAACGAACGAACCGTATTGCTTTGGCGAATGGCGTAATAATACTTGTTCCAGATGAAGGATGCAAAGGCAGTCGAGGCATATTTATTAATACTAAATTGTGTAATTACTGTATTCACAATTATATATAATTACTTTTCACGATTATATTTATAGCACGCAAGAAAAATTGAGTTAAGTCACTTGAAACATAAATCTTAACCACAATAGGTACATCCAATAGCGTAACAATCACAGACGACTAAAAGGGCCTCCGCACAAGGGATCTGTTCCTTTCGGCTACACTGCTGCACTAGTACAATTAGAGTGAAAGAAAGTATGTTCGTCTCTTTCTAACTTAATGCTAGTGCAGTAGTGCAACTGAAAAGAACAGACCCAAGGTGTTCCATAACGCATTAAAGTATCATTTCATGTGCTGCCACAGCAGTTCGCTGCTATTGGTTGAAGAATTGTTACTAGATGCTGCAAAATAAATTTCACCATATTTTGCTTCATCGTTATGAAGTTCAATTGAACGAACAGTAAAGCAGCAAAGACACGCGACAGTTTATCTCCTTTCTTCTTATCATCATTAATAAAAAATGGCATTGAGTCAGGTAAGTATATTTATTATAATATACTTATTTATTAATATTATATGTATACTATGTATATTTATTATGAAATAAAAACAAAGATAAAATAAAGAAATGAAACAAATGAGAACAAAGATCCGAGGATTATATTACAGTCAAAATAATATCATTTTGATGTTATATTGCCACAAAACTTATAGGTTATATATATATATTCATTTGCTTTCATATCTTTCAAATTGCTTGGTAGAATACAATAATGAGAAGAATCGATTGGTATAAAGAAAACATAATTGTTTCGAAGAAAAAATATGTAATCTGCAATTAACAATTCCATATTTTTTATTAAAAACAACTATATGTTTTCTTTACACCAATTGATTCCTTTTATTATTTTGTACATAAAAGTATTAAGGTAAGATAATCAAAAAATGAATAGTTTTCAAGATATTTTATGGTTTATGTAAAATAAGGAATAATTTTAAGCCTCATAACTCGAAAAGTACTTGATGAAAAAATACTTTGTTATAGTGTTTTGGAAAGCTCTCGAGATAAGCTATAAGAATATGCAATGAACAATAGAACGTTCCGTTTAAGAAATTGAAGGTGACCTTTATGTGACCTTCAAATGACTATCCAAGTTTAAATTTTTTCCACCGTCTTATGGCCCCCTTGAAACCATATAACTTTTGTTTGAAACATTTTTCGATTTAACGCAGTGTTTCTGAGATATTTGAGTGGGTCCTTTAAAATAGGACACCCTGTATATAGGTATATATACATCTTATAATTTGCTCTCAACAATGTAAATTGCAATAATTCTTCAAATTAAATAGTATCCATTCGAAAATAATTTCGAAAACGCAAGTCTTCCAACTTTAATATAGGTAAAGTTGTATAATAAAATCCATTACAGCGTTGTTGAAACAATTCAGTCACCCAAATCCTTTTTTTTTATAATGCCGCTTTCCTTTTGAAATTTTATTAGCTCAAATTACAATTGCACTGAAATTTTATTAGCTCAAATTACAATTGCACTGCTGCTGCAATTGCAACTTTTTGTCTTCGCAAAGTTTCAATATTATGTTTTTGAATGGTTTTCTCACATTCTCTGTGCCATTGATACAATTTTTGATTATATGAAATTATTAAACTCTAAATTAAATTCAAAATTTAAATTAAACTGTTAAAAGCTCAACTCTGCAATATTATTTTTAAGTTATAATTTGCTTATGTACTACTGCTGTCTTCCTTAAATGCCCTGCTGACATGTGATCTTGCCAGCCAGTGCTGCTCATAGACTTATAGAATAGACTGACCCCTACCGTAAGAGGCAGCGTTGAAAGATCTAAAGGATAGAGAGATGATTCCGGATATCTTTATCCTTCTCTTTTGTCTCGTGGTGGAGACACTGATGGGATGAGTGAAAACGAAGCGAGCATGCGTGTAGGAAATGAGGGAAAAGTAGTGTTAGAGAGAAGCCCAAGGACGTAAGAAATACTGGACAGAGCATAAAGTACTCTTTTAGACGAGGGGAGTGAAATCTGAGGGGTAAGGGGTTTATTGTCGCGGCCATCTTAGATGCATCAGATTTAGCGTCTATTTTCACGTCGCACGGACGTCGAAATCGAATAAAATATGAGAGATTCCGTGAAATCATCTATCATCTGAAATTGCTGTGTTATTCCGAATCATTTTTGAATATTAAAAAATTCAAAAATATCACACTCCGTGAAATTAATATCCGTCGCCATCTTATATGCCTCATATTCCGTTGCAGTAGACATTTCTTTCCCCTCACCCTTTGAGCTTCACTCCCGCAGCAATACACTCTATCCAGTGGGTGCTTTCCAATTGAGATATCCCTAGACACTTTTATGCACACGGCGACACAAGTCGCGTTCTAATTGCCGTAACTGCCGACACAACTTTACACATCCGTACTCAGCTCGAGGGCTACTAGTCAACTTGTGTAACCTTCTGTTTTCTAGGGACAAATGAAATATGCGGTTACAGACTGACGGCGATTATGTTGGCAATTTTCTTTTCGTTTTATCCTTTTTAATTAAAAGACAACCATTAAAGTACACCATACAAATACAAAAATGGACAATAAAAATATTAAAAGTATCATTGAAGTAAGTAATTCAAATTAATGAGTTTTTGTACAATTAATTTTTTTATTATATTTAATAAATAAAATAAAATTGTCTCTTTTGCATATTTGCAGGTTAGATATATTACTGATTAAATTTTCATTCATATTTATATATTAATATAATATGCATATATATATTTTATTTATATATTATTTATATATTATATAATATTATGCAAAATTACCAATGAGATACTAGCAAAAGAGACAGACATAGACCTCGCATGTAGTATCTCTCTCTTCACCGCGGGCTGACGCCTGTCTACACGCAATGGTCAATCCATTTTATATATCGATGCTATCACCCTTAGCATGGATTAAAAAATATCAAGATGGACATGGTTATGAAGAATCCTAACCCTCCACTCGAAAGTCGCACATTAACTTTGTTCCAATTGAGTCGTGCACATCGCTACACTTTGTGCCTTCCTGTGTATGTTTGTGTTAAGATGTGTTAAACAATTGGAAAGCACCCAGTATTTCTTACGTCCATGGAGAAGCCTGAGAGCGGCCATCAGTGGTGGTGGTAGGCCGGGTAACATTTCGCACATGCGCCGCGAATGCGGCGTTAACGAAGTATCTAGTAGAAGCAAAAGGTGTGTCACTGGTCGCCCTTAAATAAATTTCTGAAAGAAAATTTTTAAAAAATTTTTACGAGCGGCCAACAGCATACTTTCATTTCACTAATCACTTTTCTCGCTGTATTTGAAAACACTATAACATTCACTCGGGACTCAGGACTTCTTTCTGAGATCACCGACCTCAGCTTGCCCGCCAAAACTTTGCCGCCCATAATCCGCTGATACACCGTTGCTTTCCTGTGATTACTACTGCGCATGCGCGAAAAAGTCACCCGACCTACCATCACTGTATTGACTTCGTAGTTCATGTCCACGTTTTTAATGTCTACAAGGGACGTCTCGCTTTCAGGAATTACCTGAAAACGTGATACATCTCTCATTCTTCTTTCTGATATTAACTTTGCGAGAATTTCATGTTTATATTTCAGTAAATAAATAAACAATTATCAAGGTATGCAAAATGTAGTAATCTAGTACATATTTGTTTATTTAATTCACATTTAATATTGGTTTTACAGCACAAAAATTATTTACAAAAATTTATTTGGTTAATTTTATATATTGTGTATTGTAATTATGTAATTTCATCCTGTTGTACATTCTAATGTAAGTTAATGGAACAATTAATAAAAATTAATAAGTTTATATATATATATATATATATATATAAACTTATTAATTTTTATTAATTGTTCCATTTTACATTAGAATATACAATAGGATATATATATATATATATATATATATATATATATATATATAGTGAAAAATATATTAATATAAAAGGTCATACATTATGTATCTTTATGTCTTTATATATCTTTATATGTTAATTTATTATTTATTATTATATAAATATGACATAATATGAAACATATATATATATATATATATATATATATATGTTTCATATTATGTTATGTTTATATAATAATAAATAAAAAATTAACATATAAAGACATAATGTATGATTTTTTATATTAATATTTTTCACTATAATCTTTTGTAATAAAGTAAACAAAAATTATATATAATAATTTAATAATAAAAGTTTATTATATATTTGTATTATTGTAACAGATGTCTGGAAACAAGTGTCGTAATTGTGGATCTACAAATATTGAGACCGACCCTGCACGTGGAGATGCTATTTGTATGGAATGTGGTTTTGTATTGGAGGATTCAGTTATTGTTAGTCAACCAACTTTTGAGGAATCGTCCTCTGGTAAAGTAATGCCTAAATACTTTGTCCCTAATGATAGTACAGGTGGTGCTACAAATTTTGGTGCACGTAAGTCATTTAAATAATATTCTTTTTTTCTTCTTTCAAAAGTTATAAATTTGTTTATAATTATTATAAATTGTCTTAAAATCTTTTTAATTTGCAGGCTATTTCAATGAAAAGGAATCTAGTAAACAAACCTTAGAAAATGCAAGGAAAGGTATAATACATCTTGCCATGCAATTAGGGTAAACAATTTTTGTCTCTTTATGATATAATTAATATAATTAAATGAGATCTATGTGTAAAATTTTCAGAATTTGAAATTTTTATTTCAGCTTAGACGAGAATGATATCAACATGTCTGTAAGAATTTATGAATCTGCTTTAAAACGTAATATGACACGTGGGAGAAAACAGGTACATAATCAGGCTGCTTGTGTGTATATTACCTGTCGACATGGAGACAATCCTCGTATCCTTTATATTTACAGTAATGCAAAAAGTTTATCTAGAATCTAGTAGTTTTCTTATTTCTCTTTTTTTTTTTACAAATTTGCTATATTTGTACAAATTTTTTTTAATATACATTAGTTTATTTTTATTAATATATATATTTTTATTAATATATATATTAATATATATATATATATATATTTTATTAATATATATATTTAATTAATATATATTATTTTTATTAATATATAATTGAATATATTTGTTAAGTCACATTTAGAGTACAAATGTATATAAAAGAGTATAAGAAAGGAAAGTATAAAAAAATAGAAAAATTCTTAACAGTTTATATAGTTCTTCATTCTATTATGCTTATCGACATCAGTGATATTCTTCACATTTGTGTTTATGAACTCGGACGGACATATCTACGATTTATACAAGCACTTGATGTCCATTTAGTTTTTGCAGGTAAGCAACTTGCATATAATTTTATATATATGTATTATAATTTAATAATTGATAATTATATATAGAACAATTAATAATTGATATTGATGTATTCTGCTAAAATGCAAACAATATAGACATTAGCCATGTTAGTGGTCAGTATATAAAAATCTATGATATATTAATCCAATATATTTTACTCCAAATATGGCTATCCTTACATCACTGTTAGAACATTACTATTAATGTGATGTAGTAACATATACACACATATAAAATATTTCAAACAGATATTTAAAAAATTTACGGTAAGAGACTTCTCCAAGTCAAAATAAAAAATATTCATATAACATGTGTCTGAAAATACTCCATTTTTGAAATGCAAAAGTGTGGCTAAAAAAATACTTTTTACTTTTTTTAAAAATACTTTACTTTTTATTTTTTTTAATACTTTTTACTTTTTTAAATAAAATTATAATCATACATTAAAATTTAAAATCTTAAGAATACATAGTACATGTGTAGGTCATAATCTGGAGTAATTTTGATATTACTGTTGTCATTTTTACATATAGTTAGATAAATAGAAGCAAAATTTTTAGATTTATCCCCAAAAAAATAAACTGTTATATTAAGAAGTCAATTTTTTTCTAAAATTAAGTAATTACTGCACTTTTCAAAGTAATTGTAAAGAGATATTTATTTTAAAAAGATATTTGGAAAATATATAATTTAATTTTTTTTTCAATCCTCTATATTTCTAAAATGAAATACCTACAGATACTTATTTATAATTTTTGTCATATTTTGACCACAGAAATTTTCTATAGAATTTCTTTCAATATCTTTTTTGAAACAATAAAACAATGTATATATTTAACAATAAAAGATATATAATTTTTTTATATATCCTTAATTTTTGGAAATATTTACTACGATCACTATAAAAATCATCTTATATATATATATATATATATATATATATATATATATATATATATATATATACAGGGTGAATCATAATGGATGTAACAACCTTTTACCATTAGAGATCAATTATCGACTGCAACTGTAATCAATTGAATGATTCATAGATGACAGCTGCTTGGATCGACCGTGTCTGCAGTAACGTACAAGCGAGTTAAATACTGTGAATTAAATAATATACATATTCCATGCATACTTTTCTAATATATTTAACTTTTTTATGTACATATTTTGCTTTCTACACGGTTTTTTTCTAATAACGCGATTTCTTATTATTGTGAAACGTATCTGCCACATAAAAAGAGATATCTTTTGCATTCGTGTATTTTTTAATACGATTTTTTTTTAAATAATGATTTTTTAATACATAGAATTTGACGGCGATTTTTTTCATTCTTACACAAATCATTTTAACGCGTAAAAAGAGTTGGATTGGTAAAGATACAAAAGTATTCTTTTTTTATTAAAAAAAATGCGTAATTCTGCTTTCTACAAGAATTATTCTACTTATTATTAATTTTCTAAGTTATAACTTTTACATTCTTAATATCTACAGCAGAATATTTCTTGTAGAAAGTAGAATTACGCATTTTTTTTTATAAAAAAGGAATACTTTTGTATCGTTTACCAATCCAACTCTTTTTACACGTTAAAATGATTTGTGTAAGAATGGAAAAAATCGCCGTCAAATTCTATGTATTAAAATACCATTATTTAAAAAAAATCGTATTAAAAAATACACGAATGCAAAAGATATCTCTTTTTATGTGGCAGATACGTTTCACAATAATAAGAAATCGCGTTATTAGAAAAAAACCGTGTAGAAAGAAAAATATGTACATAAAAGAGTTAAATATATTAGAAAAGTATGCATAGAATATGTATATTATTTGATTCACAGTATTTAACTCGCTTGTACGTTACTGCAGACACGGTCGATCCAAGCAGCTGTCATCTATGAATTATTCGATTGATTACAGTTGCAGTCGATAATTGATTTCTAATGGTAAAAGGTTGTTACAACCATTATGATTCACCCTGTATATATCTGTGTGTGTGTGTGTGTGTGTGTGTGTGTGTGTATGTGTGTGTGTATGTATGTATACACACACACACACACACACACACACACACACACACACACACACACACAAGGTGAGGAAGAAAGGTTGGAACCCTGAAATATCTCGAAAAATATAAATTTTATAAAAAATTGTTTCAGATAAATGTTGTAGGGTATAAAAAGGGTCTATTTACTGATCTTATCACTTTGATCTTGAGTGTCGTCGTCAAGACCATGACAAGATCACTTTGAATGTTTCAAATAGAACTCCATATTTTTTATTGTATATTCTTATAGCTTATCTCGAGAGCTTTCCTAAATACTACTATATATATATATAAAGCTCTCGAGATAAGCTATAAGAATATGCAATAAAAAAATATGGGGTTCTATTCAAGATGATCTTGTCATGATTTTGACGACGACACTCAAGATCAAAGTGATAAGATCAGTAAATAGATCTTTTTAAGCCCTACAACATTTATGAAACAATTTTCTATAAAATTTATATATATATATATATATAGAGAGAGAGAGAGAGAGAGAGAGAGAGGGTGAATTTTATACAGTGAGTGGTATAAATATTTGCAAAAATTGAAGATGTATAAAAAAGTTCCTTATGTAAAAAAATATTCAATTAAATTTAATTTAAGATAGGAACATCATATGTTATAAAACGCCTTTTTTTAGATGATGGCATTAAAAAGATTTCAAGGCCAATTTTATTTCCTTAAATGGATCGCTATATTTCTAAGTTATTCAAAACAATAATTGTTTTTAGGATGTACTCAATATATTTTACAATATCAAACAATATATTTTATGACTCAAAGTCAATCAAGATCATTAATATTCGATAATAAAATTTATGAATGTATGTACTTTTATTCTTCACAATAATAAATGCTCAAACCCATACAGCACAGAATATTGCAACAATATTATTAATATTGTCGTAACATTGCAGCAACATTGCAATATTAGCGCAATATTACTGCAATGTTCTGTATGGGAAGTTTTGAATTTGTAGGCAAGGTGAATCTTACGTATCAAATGGTTCACTGTTCTTTTTAATATTTCCATATTGAAATATTTTGAAGTGCTTTGATTTTGCTGCCTCTTCCTTTATGCCCATGTAAAGCGCATATGCGCGCATACATTTACGCTATGTTATATACAGGGTGTCCTATTTTAAAGGATCCATTCAAATATCTCAGAAACACTGCGTTAAATCGAAAAATGTTTCATATATACAGTTGTATGACTTGAAAAGGGATATAAGATGGTATCATTAGTTTGACCTTGGGCGTTGTCAAGGTCAGGGTAAGGTCACTTTGAATTTTTTAAATGGAACCCCCTATTTTTTATTACATATTCTCGTAGCTTAGCTCGAAAGTTTCAAAACGCTATAATAAAATATTTTTTCATTGAGTACTTTTCGAGTTTTGAGGCTTGAAATAATTTCTTAATTTTACATAAACCGTAAAATATCTTGTAAAATATTCATTTTTCGATTATCTTACGTTAATACTTTTATGTACAAAATAATGAGAGAAATCGATTGGTGTAAAGAAAACACATAGTTGTTTCGAAGAAAAAATATGTAATTTGCAATTAACAATTACATGTTAAGTACATATTTTGTACATAAAAGTATTAAGGTAAGATAATCGAAAAATAAATATTTTACTAAATAGATATTTTATGGTTTATGTAAAATTAAGAAATTATTTCAAGCCTCATAACTCGAAAAATACTTAATGAATACTCAATAAATACTTTATTATAGTGTTTTGGAAAGCTCTCGACGTGAGCTACCAGAATATTCAATAAAAAATAGGTGGTTCCATTTAAAAAATTAAAGGTGGCCTTCACGTGACCTTGAAACGCCTTTTCAAGGTCAAATCAATGACACCTTCTTATGGCCCCCTTCAAGCAATACAACTTTTGTTTGAAACATTTCTTTCTAAAGTGCATAGTTTATCAAAATATTCGACCGTCCCGGAATTTTTGGTAGGCATTATACAGGGTCTACCAAAAGTGTGGAAACCCCTAAATATCTCGGAAAATATACGTTTTACAGAAAAGTGTTTCCAACAAAAGTTGTAGGGTTTAAGAAGATCTATATACTGATTCTATCAGTTTGACCTTGGATGGCGTCGTCAAGGTCAGGTCAAGGTCACATTGACTTTTTTAAATGACACCCCCTACATTTGATTGCATATTCTTATAGCTTAATTCAAGAGCTTTCCAAAACACTATAATAATGTTCATTTTTATTAAGTACTTTGCGAGTTATGAGGCTTGAAATAATTTCTTAATTTTACATAAACCATAAAATATCTAGTAAACCATTCATTTTTCGATTATCTTACCTTGATACTTTTATGTACAAAATAATGAGAGGAATCAATTGGTGTAAAGAAAACACATAGTTGTTTCTAAGAAAAAATATGTAATTTGCAATTAACAATTCCATATTTTTTCTTAAAAACAACTGTATGTTTTCTTTACACCAATTGATTCCTCTCATTATTTTGTACATAAAAGTATGAAGGTAAGATAATCGAAAAATGAATGGTTTACTAGATATTTTATGGTTTATGTAAAATTAAGAAATTATTTCAACCCTCATAACTCGCAAAGTACTTAATAAAAATGAACATTATTATAGTGTTTTGGAAAGCTCTTGAATTAAGCTATAAGAATATGCAATCAAATGTAGGGGGTGTCATTTAAAAAAGTCAATGTGACCTTGACCTGACCTTGACGACGCCATCCAAGGTCAAACTGATAGAATCAGTATATAGATCTTCTTAAACCCTACAACTTTTGTTGGAAACACTTTTCTGTAAAACGTATATTTTCCGAGATATTTAGGGGTTTCCACACTTTTGGTAGACCCTGTATATTGTATACATTATATAATTGTAGTATTAGGGCTGTATATTTTTTTCTTAAGGATCATATA